GTGTGTGTGTGTGTGTGTGTGTGTGTGTGTGTGTGTGTGTGTGTGTGTGTGTGTGTGTGTGTGTTTTCGCTACCTGTTCTCAGGGTCTGGTGTGGTCATGGCTCGGGTTACATAACACATCTTCAGTGGTATGCACCTCCTGTCACCGTTCAGAGACAAGGAGTGCTGAATCGTAGGACTTGGAGTTTCAGGTGAGGAGGTGACGGGAGGGCTGCTGAGACGGGGGGACTCGGGAGGAGGCGTCTCCCAGCCGATCTCTGACACAGGAGAGCCCTTTTTGACATATGGTGTGGCCTCACGCATATACTTGACTGGAGAGGAATAGAAGAAATACATTTTTAGTACACACAAAGCAATGATAACAATAAAAATTGAGCCACATGTTGAGATTGCAAATTATTTGTCGTCACTTTTGGCCATCTTTATAATTTTCTGTAGATAAAATGGTTCATATTTATATGCTATAGTGACGCCGATTTGTCTTTGCACACTCTAAACAGTATAAATGATTTATAAAACCCTTAATTCGTATAAATATATATACTTTTACAAAAATACCTATTAAAATGAAAAAAGGCTACATGTGTAACAATGAGGCTGTTCTTTTGCTGGCAGGGTTGTAACCTCATTTAATACAAAGGCCAATTAAAATCCCAACACGTTTGACCTTACAGCCTTGCAGATACTCATAATGTAAAATCCATATGTGCTTCAGCAGCAATTAACAAACCTTGTTGTTTTGAAGGTAGTCTGTATCTGTCATGACGCAGAGGAAGGAAGTGGGGATACCACAAATGTTCACATGCACAGCCAACATTGAAACTGTTTTACATATAATACCACTGAAGTGTTTGTTAAGCACAGACTTTCACGGGGCGGCAGCAGAAATGTAATTTTCAGCAACATATCTGTGCGTTAATGATGCTTGTCAGAGACCCAGGAGGGTGTACAGATTACAGAAACTTGCCTCTGATAGTAATAAAACTTAGGACCACAAGTCTGTTTCATGTCCGCATCATGCAGTGGCGGTTAAATAGATCGATTACAGCCTCAGACCTGCTGCGTCACGCCCTCACCATATATTTCCTGTGTGTAGTTTTACAATCATCTGTCCAATATGTTTTTGTTCACCCGTTAAAATCAGAAGGAGGAGAATCAAATCAGTTACTTTGCACATGAGCTCTGGAGTGCACGATAGAAGGCCACTTCAGATGCTCCCTCACTAAAATATTCAGTGTCCACTGAATAATGTCATCTCTAAAGACGACTATTGTCCACAGAGTGTTCTGATAAAGCAATACACGTTTTGCTCCACAGGCAGCAGGAAGCTCAGTGGAAAAACAGTGATACATGTTCCTGTAATAATTAAGTGGCCCTCTGTGCTGCCACTTGATAACAGCAAATGTCAACATGCCATTTAACTGCGGTGGTTGTTGTCAACAAAATCAAGTGCCTCTTCAGCTCTCAGTAATTTGTTGAAACGTATTGATTTGCCCCATCGTTCCTGCTGCTGCTGGCAGCTCTGGCACCATTGAGTCACTTCAAGATCCACGGCCGACGCCGCTGGGCTATCTGAGAAACGCCGAATCCAGGAAAACACACGGCTTTACTTGTACGAGTCATACTGATACTCATTTTAAATTCCACATGTCCTCCTCTTTGAGAGGAGGAGAAAAGAAGGCTGAACACATGTTACAGTGAAAGACAGAAATAGGGAGTCGGAGATAAAGTGGGTGCACAGATTGCTTTCTATGTCCTGAATACTCTAAATCCTTATTATGGCCTGGATGTCTAATTGGCATATCTCGCAGTACAGCTGCATATAATTGGCATATGGCTGGTGGCATTTGTAATCCAGCATGTGAACTATTCTTGGTAGAAGCACTATTGAGCACTACGGGATGGTATAACAAGCCTAACCTCCAACCTGTAAATTAGGGATGATAGGCTCATAACACAGAGGCACATAACACAGAGGAGAAGACAGGGATGATGTAAGAGTGTCCTCAATGGACGTACAGATATGATGTGATCTAATTGCACAGTAGAATAACCCACACAGTCAGATCAGATTAAAACAGCTTGAGAAAAAAAAAAAAAGGTTGATACTTTTGTTGAAATCAAAGGACCGAATAGATCAAATCCAGCGCAGTCAAATAAGGACAACCACTTCTGCTTTGTGTTAAGTGTGTTAACTCGAAGGATATTAATAAAAAAGGGAAGAAGTAAAAGTCTGAAAGACTGAGACTGACTTTTGTGATTAGACAGCAGCACAGAGACCGTCTGCCTCATACTTTGTGTTGCAAACATCACAAAGCTGCAGCAGAACATCAAATTCGTGACTTGTGGCGTTTTGCTGAGCATCTTAGTTCAGCCATTCCTGCACTGTGAGGATGCATTTCGCTCCCTCTGCATTCCTTTAAAAGTCAGTTTGAAAGTTTAGACTTGGTATTTGGGCTCAGGCTAAAAAAAAACAAAACAAAACACAATATATAATCACACCTTTCTAATGGGCCTACCCACAGCACTGTACCTAAATCATACATCCTTAAAAAATAACTGTGAAAGCATGTACACCACACAGAAACCACAAGGCCTGCGGTTGATCAGCTAGGCGTCTTTTGCTCTGTGTCAGTTTCTGACGCTGGTAGAGAACGTGACTGTAAAGACAGCACGAAGCAAGATGAATCCATCTGCTGATTTTCAGACACAAACATGTAGCACAATCCTAACAACTTACCCGTTAGTTTCACACCATACACAAAACTTTTATTATTATCTACCCAAACAGCTGATACCCTGGTTACAAATTTACAGTCCACTCTCTGAGCAGAAAAAAAAAAAAGACATGCCACCCATCTACTATAAAAACATAATGTTTAGTTGATGATTTGCCTGCAGTTAACATTTACAAAGAATCCCCATTCCTAGAAATAGAGCTCTAAGTGTTTCCAGTGGAGGGGAAAATAAAAAGGGGTACAGTCCGTGCAGTCATTACACTGTAAGTGTGTACATCTGTGTGCATTCCCTTGGGTCGTGTTTCTATCCCATTACAGCCCCAGCTCTGCGCAATAACCTCAATAGCTGGAGAAGAGCTTGAAAAGGATAGGGCTCATACTACTGGAGCCATTATTTGAGAGGAGTCTATGAGCCGGTTTGCTGTTATATAAGTCAAACTAAAGAGATTCAAACGAGAGGCTACACTTCCCATCTACTTGATTTTATTTTCCACTTTCCAAGCATCCTTGCTCACCCATGTGCAGATAAATCTTTTTTTATTATTATTAGTAGTAGTAGTAGTGGTATGATTACCATTCTCCGAGGTATTTTGCAGTTACAGCAGTCATTGATGCAGATGCCTCAATGCATCAAAACAGCTGTTCGACCCACCAGTGGAGTCATTGACTTCTTTTGATGATTCAAACGCTCTTCGCTTAATAGAAACTGTACACGATCCATTACTTACACATTTTTATAGCTGATGCACTCAATTTCTTCTTGACTGTTAGACCTTCACAATGAATACACAATGACAAACACACACTCTTCAGTCCGTCCCAACCCTCTTGACAAACACACACTTTCTGGTCTATAACATTAAGTGTAATTACTGTAGCTGTCTCATTGTCTCTTTTTTTTATTTAATGGTCTTTAACGGTACTTAATGGGGTTTGAAGTCATTGCATTTACTACTATATGCTTCAAATGTACTTTTTGTTTTGTGAGAAAGTGCACCAAAGGAGAGAAAAAAACACTCATTACAGCTGCGGAAGTGAAAGTAGACTGGTAAAAGCTGGAAAGAGGCCAAACCAGACTAAAGAGGTAGAAAAAAAAGAGACGCTCCTCTGACTGTAGAATTAGGCCTTTTCCTCTTGTACCTGGATACTACAGCAGCACAAAAGGCCCTTACAAATCCACCCTCGGGGCACCTTTTTGTAAGATGTTGGCCAATATTTCAAAGATTCCAATACTACCTTAACAGCAGGTTAAAGAAATGTGAAATGTGCATAGGTATGCTTACTCACTGACCATGAACTGACACCAAGTTCAACACTTTTCTAATCAACTTTCTGAAGAGCATATTTATATAAAAGACACCTGAAAGGCATTTGCTAAAATGTCACATTTTAAAATACCGCCGATGATGTTACAACACAAGAGATCTGGTACTAACAGATTAAAGAGTACTTCTATATGTAATACTGAACTTAATGATTTAGTTATCGTGCTGTAAATATGAGTTAACCTGTGGGGATAGGTTAAATGATTAATCTAAATTGCCCATAGGTGTGAATGCGGGAGTGAATGTGAGCGCGAATGGTTGTTTGTCTCTGTGTGTTGGCCCTGCGACAGACTGGCGACCTGTCCAGGGTGTACCCCGCCTCTCGCCCTATGACAGCTGGGATAGGCTCCAGCGCCCCCCGTGACCCTGAAAAGGATAAGCAAAAGCGAATGGATGGATGTAAATATGATATTTACTGCAGGAGTGAGGGAATTAGGCATAGTGTAGTCTGAGTGATGCACAGTAGAGAGTACGAAAGAAATAAGAAAGAGAAAGGAGCACAAAAGGAGCGCTCGAAGACTTATTTGCCAAAAAAAAATGCAAATGAGCAGATGCAAATGCAAATGCAGAGGATGTGGACACCACAGTGTGTGTTCGGGACACAAGAAACTTGCATTGAAATTACATTAAACATTAACCTGAATGTTAAAGATAACAAACCTACACCCGTTTAGCAGATATTATTATCAAAAATTTGAATTTACCTATAAAGCACTTCCCCTGAATTATGACAGCTAGCAAGTTTAAAAAAACAAAAAAAACAAAGCTTCAGAGGATGAAAGTGTGAGCAGGAGGATCCACAACACAGTCACTTTGTGGGGTTACAAGTTTTGCATCAAAAAGTGCGATCTTTGCAAACTCTTTTAGCTCAGATTCATGCATGCAGCTATCAAGTAACGAGTGCAGTGAGTATTCAGCTTATTATTGTATAAAGGAAAACTGGTTAGCAATTCAAGGCTGACCGTGTCTATAACATTGAGATGATGGAAGCTGTAGAAAACAAGAGAAATATGGTCACAGTTTAACTTCCATGCTTGAAGCGTAAAAACTAATAGAAATAACAGCTTCAAAATAGTGCCAGGTCACTGGTATACCGGTATAATCTCATGCATGCTTTCACTTTTCAAATACCCCATTACTGCTGTATTTAGACAAAAGACTTTGGCTTTTTAAGAGGATTAAGCGTATTACTGGGAGTTCTGTAGAGAGTACTGAAAGGACTACATTGACAAAAAGCCTATAAAAGAT